AGTATGAATGTAATACATTAGTATAAATAGTAGTAAAATAGTAATATGACAGCAATGCATTGGTATATAAAGTAGTAGAATAGTAGTATTGCAGTAATACAGAAGTATAAATAGTAGTAGAATTGTAGTATGACAGTAGTACATTGGTATAAATATTAGTATTCCAGTAATACCAGAGTATAACTAGCAGTAGAACAGTAGCATGTTAGTAATACGTTGGTATAAATAGTATGACAGTAACACATTAGTAAAGATAGTAGTAGAATAATTGTAAGACAGTAATACAATAATATAACTAGTAGTAGAATAGTAGAATGACATTACAATATTACTATAAATAGTAGTAGAACTCTAGTATAATAGGAGTAGAATAATTGTGGAATACAATCTGAATAACAACTTTGCTGATGATATGTTAAAGGGAAATTAAGTGTTCATAACGTTCAAAGCTAATTATAAGCATGAAATAGATGTATAAGAATAATAAGCCGTAATCCGTAGTTATACTACGGATCATAATAGAAAGTTTGATCAGTATAGAGACAATCTAATTTTATAGAAATAACTTTGTGTAGAATTAATAGTACCTATGATAGATCTGGGATATATGAGAACGATAGAGCTTGCTTGATAAATATTTGTATATAAACATATTTAAAGTGTGGCATCCTGGTAACTCAATGTTAACAGGCTGGCAACACCAGAAGAGGAAAATAACATTCGGCTAGAGTTATCTAAAGTTATCTTAGGAAATTCTTGGTACATTAGTAAACCTATACCATTGTTGCTGACCAGGGAAATACATTTATATATCAATTTAGCATCAGAGCCAGTGACTTGCTTGCTCTGTGCATTACACTGTGGATGACAGCGATTTGTGATTATGCCCTCAAAAAGTGCTTTAACGACTTCTATGGAAGTTTCAACATGACTTTACGTATATTAAAATCAAGAGCCATGACAACAATGCGATGCGATGCGATGCGACGCGTCGGTCAAGAAAGCAGCAGCAATTGTTGCTGCCGTTGTTGTTGTTATTATCGTTGTTATTGTTATTGTTGCTACAATTTTATTTTCAATTGTCAACGAGTGGGCGTGGCCGGAAGTAACAAGTGCTTAGAACTAATTGCCAAGTAAACAAGAAACAGTCGCCGCTTGAGGTCAGCGACAGGTGAAAGGCCAACGTCAAGCCAAGCCTCGCTGCGCTTGACTTTCCCCTGTCCAGCGCCTGCCAGACAGTGAGGGAGAGAGCGAGAGAGGGAAAGTGAGAGAGATAGAGAGAGTGTGAATGGTGGGCAGTGGGCGTAAACTGTAGGAAGTCTCATTGCTGCCATACCCATTAGAAATGGAAGAACTGGAAAGAGGCTTGCGCTAATCGAAGAAGAAGACGTCCGCGTATCTTGATGTTGATCTCGAAGAGAACTTGACTGAGTGCAGTTAGCCATAGGCTCTTGCTACCGTACGGTCGTGCCTCCATAAGACTTGAGCTCCCCCTTACTAGTCTAGATTGATGGCGACAGCGTCTAGGATATCTACTAGTTGAGCGCGCGTGACTTTCACTTGTTTCTTTTCTTGGCCGTAATTGTAACTGCCAAATAATTTGTTGCGCAGCTCTCGAGCTAAGCGATTATCATTATAATTATGTTCAATGCGGTTGCGATTGCGATTGCGGTAGCTCGTGATTAGCCAAGAGCGCTACAAAATCTCGACACTCCAATGGACAGCGGACGCGTGGATCTAACAGAGATGCCGACAACAACAACAACAGCAGCAACAACAACAGCGGATGTGAATGACTATTGAGAGACAGCCAAACGGATGCTGCTGATGAAAGGCGAATGACGCTCAAAGTCAAAGTGGAATGCCGCGCATGCCTTTGCCATGCTTTCCAGCACCAATCAATTCGATGACTTTGACATTGGGGGTAGTCCATTATTAAGCTATCGATAAGCTATCTATTGCTCAGACTCTGGCAGCTTCTCGACAGATGCCAATCCAAGAGTAGCACAAGAAATAAGTTTCACATTTCGCCTGACAAGCGCTCGAATCGAATTGTGTTGCATGTGCTCATTCGCTCAAGCTCCTGTCAAGCTCATGTCAAATGTTTACTTCACGCTTGACCTATCGATAGGTTATCGATTATAGATTATATTCAACTGTCAGCTAAGACACATATATTGCATATTCCAGTTTAACTACATGTCAAGCTCATGTCAAATGTGTATGTCAGCTTCATGCTTGACCTATCGATAGGTTATCGATTGTATATTATATTCAATTGTCAGCTAAGACATAAGCTTTACATATTTTAGATTTAACCTCCTGTCAAGCTCATGTCTAATTTTTATGGCAGTTGTCAGTAAAATTTACTTCATGCTTGACCTATCGACAGGTTATCGATTACAAACTATATTCAATTGTCAACTTAAACACAAATTTTACATATTTCAGATTTAACCTCCTGTCAAGCTCATGTCAAATGCGTATCCATACTTTTCAGTAGCTAGCTTTTACACTTGAGCTTTTGATAGTTTATCGATTATAGATTGTATTCAATTGTCACCTAAGACATAATTTTCCACATTCCTGGTGAGCCTTTTGTCAAGCTCTTGTCAAATGCATATGCCAGTTGGCTATGCTTTGTGCAGGCTCAAACCTCTCATTGTTTAATACTAAGGCTTAAACTGTGCTAAAATGGCAATAACATTACTTTAACATAGTCCTAAAAGAGAACAGATTTCCCACTTTTGAAAGGTTTTACACGCTTCAGCTTACATATGCGAAACATATCTTCCTTCCTTTCTTTTTTTAGCCACGTCGCGCTCTCCCCCTCCCCGTTCCCCCTATAGCAACAGCTTTTAAAACGCACTTCAAGCATTGCCGCAATAATTAATCTCTATTTTTGTTTACATCAACTCTGTAAAATCTCTTTTAATGCTGTCCCCAAAACATAACGAGACCAAACCAGAAACAAAAACAAAAACAAAACCCAATTTCGAAATTGGCAAAATGAAATGTCTGGCATATCGTTCGCTCCGCTATTGCCGATCAAATGGGACGCAACTCGAGACAATTTACCGCCACATATTTATGAACACATTCCGGTGGCGCCTCGTCGATTGCCCCCGAACTTTTAGTTTGTTGCCTAAGTCTTTCGTTTCGAGATGGCGGCAGCTCGCAGCTCGCAGCTCGCAGCTTTCTGCTCACAGTTCGCAGTTCGCAGCTCGCAGTTCGGATGTCGAGAGTCGAGTGTCTTGAACTTTGTTGCCCAGGCTACCATTTGGGCATTATGTAAAGATCGGGGCACAAATGATTTATAGAGCCGCATAAACAGTTAATAAATACGTTGTAAATCGCAGTCAACAAAACATTTTGATGGATCGAATGGGAATGGAACAGCAGCAGCAAGCCAGCCAGCCAGCACGAAAAATGCAAAACTGAAAATGTAAAGGAAAAACTGAACAGACTCAACAACAAGATTTGTCTACGGCATAATTTCAATAATAAATTTCCATAATTTTCAACTTGTTTTGCTGTCGATTGGCGATGGTTTGTTGTTGTTGCTGCTGCTGATTGTTGTTGCTGATTGTTGTTGTTGTTGTTGTTTGTTTGCTGCAAGTGAAGCGTAGAATTACGTGAAAGAAAAGTGAAATTATGCAGCATGTAGACGAAACAACAACAACAAGTTGTTGCTACAGTTGTTGCTGCCTCTCTCTCTCTCTCTCTCTCTCTCTCTCTCTCTCTCTCTATTTTTCCCTCCATATGATGCGTGAAAGCCACCACAAACGTTGACGCGTCGCCTCATTCGATACGTGCGACCCAATTTCCAAATTCAATTGCAAGTTCAAGTTTTATTTCTATATATGTATCTTGGGCACATACCCATTCGAGTTGTCGCAGGGTACGCGCGACTCAATAGGCCTACGTGACTACAATTTTGGCTATCGTTCAGCCATATGCTACAACTTAAAGGAACGATACACGAGCTGATGCCATAGGAGTAATGTAAACAGATATTGAAAAGAAACCAGATCGATTGATGATGACAGCCTCGGACTCAGCTTGTTTTCAGTTCAAGGTTAAGTTTATAAGGAATCACTGCAATTTCATGCTCTTTCCAGGTTGGTTGTTCCGCAACTGATTGCAACGACCAATCGATTATCGTTTTACCCCCACAATCTGCCGCGTTGCATCAGTTGCTTGGCGCAACAACTGTGAAACTATTTGTAATTAGATCCACACATTCGAAAAGCGTTCGACGATGCATAATCAAATGCCAAATCGAATTGCCTATTTCAACAGCTGTGTATTATCGATAACTCGAGCAGCTGCTGAAATATAGTTATGGGAGATTTGATTGCCCCTTGATTAAGTAATGTGAGCGTGATCGGTCGTGCTATTTCACTCTTATTCGGTCTGTCACTCTCTCCCTCTCTCTCTCTCTCTCTTTGTCTTAATCTCCGTCTCAGTCTCAGTCTCCCATTCGTTTAGTCTGTCAGTCTCCCCCTCCCTCTCTCTCTTAATCTCCATCTCAGTCTTCCTTTTGCTTAGTTTGTCACTCTCCCTCTCTCTCGTTCTCTCTCTTGATCGCCATCTCAGTCTCAGTCTCCCCTTCGCTTAGTCTGTCACTCCCCCTCTCTCTCTTAATCTCTATCTCAGTCTTCCTTTCGCTTAGTCTGTCACTCTACCTCTCCCCCTCTCTCTCTTCATCTCTATCTCAGTCTCAGTCTCCCCTTCGTTTAGTCTGTCACTCTCCCTCTCCCTCTTAATTTCCATCTCAGTCTCAGTCTCCCTTCTCCTTCTCCTTCTTACAGGGTATCTCAAGCGTCGATTCATGCCGTATGCTTAGCTCCAATGAAGCTCGCTTCTACTTTAAGCACATTCTTTCACTCCTCAATTGACACGCAGCGCACGTTTGTACACATGCCACCTTTCTCACACACACACTCTCTCTCTCTCTCGCTCTCACTCACACTCTCTCTGTCTCCTTCTCTTTGCAGCTGCGCCTGAGGCGGAAGCAGAAGCAATACCAGCAGCGAAGATGATGATGATGATGTCGCCAGCATCGGCTGCGGCCTCGGCCTCGGCCTCGACCGACTGCAGCAGCAGCAGCATGCAGGGCTCGACGACGAGCAGCGCCTCGAGCGATGTGATGACGCTGACCACAACGGCGGCGTCGTCGTGGTGCGCCATGCCGGCCAGCACACGCTTGCGTGTGGTGCGGCTGGTGCGGCCGCATCAGCGCCGGCTGCTGGTGGTGCCCGAGCGCAGCGCCGCATTCGGCTTTGCGGTGCGCGGCGGCAAGGAGCATGGGATCGGGTTCTTCGTCTCGCACGTGGAGCACGGCGGCGAGGCGCAGCTGAAGGGCCTGCGCGTAAGTGGATCAGCCCAAGAATGTGGGTCAGTCACGCAGCACACATTATGCCAATTACGTGACTGCACCACCCAGTTGAGCGAACTTCGTTTCGATTCGCCGTTAAGCGTGACTTTCCCTAACTCCCATTCGATTCACAGATTGGCGACCAGATCTTGCGCATCAATGGCTATCGACTGGAGGATGCGGTGCACAAGGAGTTCATCCAGCTGGTGGCCAGCCAGGATCGAGTCACGCTCAAGGTGCGAGGCGTGGGCATGCTGCCAGTCAAGGAGTAAGTGTGCATCCAATCATTAGAGATTGATTCAATTGAACATGACAATGCGGGCAAATTGATTGATTGATGGTTGATTTGTTTGATTGATTGCTTTAAGCTGAGTAAGTTAGAAGTTGATTGCTTGAATTTTATTTTCCAGCAATTTTGATTGATTATATTTAGAAAACTGATCAAAATGCTAGCGCACAATGATTGATGAAGATGATTGACTGCTTTCAGGTTGACTCTGATTGAGAACTACTTCAATCAACCAGCTTGAATTGAGCGCAATCTTAGCACAGAGTGGATTGAATCCAGTTCCCATTTGAAGCACAAATTTGATTGATGATGATTGACTGTTTAGTTTATATTCCTAAATGATAAAGCTTAATCAAAACTTCCGTTTGGCATTAAATTAAATTATATTCTGCCCTTCAATTCAATCAATCTTGGTTGAATGTAAAGTTGTGATTGATTCTATGATTGACAGTGATTAAATCTTTGTATAGAATTCATCATCTGACTGTTTGTTAGTTAATTTCAGTCAGGTCTGATTGATGCATATGATGATTGATACTCTGATTGATAGCTTCCGATTGAAATAGAATGCCTGATTGACTCGCCTGCAGTGTATGATTGATTGACATGTCTCTCTAGCCACATCTCATGATTGACACAAGTCACAATCTATAGAGCAGATTGCATAATTATACACGCTGATTGAGTCTTGATTGATAAGCACATCTCGATATTTGCAGCCAGCCGGATGAGCGTCTGTCCTGGAGCGTGGTCAAGCTGCCCAGTGTGAGTGGAACGCCCTCGGAGAGCTCGTTCAAGGCGACGACGGATCGACGCACGGCCAGCCGGGACATCAATGTGGTGCTGCATGTGGCGCCGCGCACCAAGCTGGGCCTGGGCATATGCAAGGGGCCCGAATGGAAGCCGGGCATCTTCGTGCAGTTCACCAAGGAGCGCAGCGTGGCCCGGGAGGCGGGTCTGCGGCCGGGCGATCAGATACTCAGCGTAAATAGCATCGACTTCTCGGACGTGCTCTTCAGCGAGGCCGTTGCCGTCATGAAGGGCTCCAGCAAGCTGGACATGGTGGTGCGCACCGCCGCCGGCTGCGATCTGTTTCCCGGCGAGTCCAGCGGCTACAATAGCTCGGCGAGCTCCGTCACTGGCGACCAGAGTCCGTGCTGGGCGGACGCCAAGTCCAAGCGGCTGACGGCCGTGCGCGAGGAGCCCACCCAGGCGGGTGGTGCGGCGGTGCAGCACAAGCAAGTGAACAAGACCATCATCAAGCTGACCGAGAACGGCACCTCCATCAACAGCACCTACATAGCCAATGCCTGCGGCACTCAGCGGGAGCACGAGCAAGCTCTGGAACAGCTGTCGGTCAGCCGCAGCACCACAATGCGACGCAGCTGCTCGGTGGCTGCGCCCACACCACCGCCGCCAGCTGCAGCGGGGGCAGCGGGAACAGCGGCAGCAGCGCCGGCGCCAAGCAGCAGCAGTGCTGGCAGCAGTCTCTCCAGTGCCATAACCGAGGAGCTCAAGAAGCGCAAAGAGGTAAAGCAGCAGAGCTGATGTGCGGCAGTATACCCTGTAAAGGATTGCAAAGTGTATATTGATGGGAGAGCACGACAGTTTTTAGCTCAAAGACATATGCAATATGCTTTCTCTAAATTGTTTGGTATGCGCTCAATATATACCCTGCAATCAACTGTATTTAGGAAGTATACATTTTTGTCTTCAACTCATGTCCCTTCAGCAACTTAAGGGCTTAGAGGATAATGCTTGGACATTGCTTTTGCATTTCGATAACATAAATATAAATATATCGATATACTCATCGTTTGTTTGAAACGGTCAATCGATTGGCTGTCTTCCTCTCTATAAGCTAAAAGCTTATTGTTCTGTTGGCTTTGCTTAGTCTTGTTCCATAGCTACCAGCTATAACAACGATATGTATCGATGAATCTTAACCTCAACAAATCGATAAACATCGATAGCTCCGAGTACGTCTTAGGTCGCAAAATTTGTCATGTACGTCATATGTATATCCAGTAGAATCCCGATAATTCAAAATGACAAGGGGATCCGTTTTTTTTCGATTGATACAGAAATTCTAACTATCGATAATTACGAATTTCTTTCAAAGAAATATTTTTTTTCGATTTATAGTGATTTTTATTTAACGGGGTACAAATTATCGAGACTCGACTGTATTTATGTATGTTTGTATCGCAGCAAATGAATTATTTTCTATTTGTACAATCGATAAATATCGATAATCATAAAGTGGCATATTCCATAGAGATTCTTCTTCATTTTATTATTAAACTATTATATTATACATAAAATATAATTCCATAAGCTAGTTAAATTAGCAAATAAAAAACTGAAATTTGCAGAGTAAAATCGAGTTCCAGCGCAGCAGCCAATCGAGCATGATCCCTTTCCTTTTCTCTGTCACTCACTCGCTCACTATCTCTCTCACTCCCACTCTCACTCTCTCTTTCCAGAAGCAACAACAGCAGCTGGTGGTGGGGCAGCGGAGCAGCCAATTGAGTCGCGATCGCGATAGGCCCAGAGATCGCGATCAGCGCACTGAAGATCGACCACACAATGGCGCTGGCAGCAGCCGCAGCATTGCACAAGTGTCGCACAAACGCGAACGCAATGCAGCGAGCGGTGCAGCCAGCGGAGGTGCGGGTGGTGGCGCCGGTGGTGCAGCAACTGCAACTGGCGATCAGCACACGGCGCTGATGGATGAGTTTAAGCGCGCGCATCAGCGCATGTTTCGGAACGGGTTCCATGAGAGCGAGCACAAGGTGAGCTGGCCAAAAAACAAAAAAAATAAAGTAAAATAATAATAGTTGTTGTTGCTAGTGGCTAGTTGTTGTTGCTGTTGCTGTTGCTGTTGCTGCTGCTGCTGCTGCTGCTGCTAGTTGCAACACACAAAGGCAAACCAGCAACAACAATGGCCACTTGCAAAGGTCAAGAGAGCTGCGGACGGCACTTGCTGTTGATTGTGGATTGTTGATTATAGTTAGCGTAAGTAGTAGTAGTAGTTGTTGTTGTTGTTGCAGTTGTTGTTGTTGCAGTTGCTGCTGGTGCTGCTATTCCAGCTGCTGATTGTTAGCCATGTGAAGTATTTGTTAGCCACTTGAGTGAAGTCAAGTGAATGAGGGCACAACAGCCAGTGTCTAAGACAACAACAGAGAGAGAGAGAGAGGGGGAGAGAGAACTATAGAGAGAGATACCAATATGTAGAAGGCAAACAAAGAAAGAAAGAGAGAGAGATCAAAGAAAATGATAGAGAAAGGAAAGTCAAAGGATTGCTACCAAATAAGCTCAGTGACTAGTAGAGCAAACGTATAAAGTAGTTAACCTAAATTGAGGTCATTAAGGTACAGTAAACACATTGAAAAGAGAACCAGCAAATATCTCAGCTATTCCTATGGCAAACCTATTAATATATATGTGCCTGTTACAAATACACGTAACAAAAGGGAGTAGAAGAAGGGACTAAGCTAAATAAAATCTTGATTAGTAGCCGATCTAAAATCGTCCATCACAGGCTCTCTAACCACAGATTGAGGGCATATAACTTATAGATATATACATATATTTGGTATACTTTCTAGAAGTAAAGGAAATGCCAAAAACCACTCTAGGAACTAGAGCAATACTTTTCTGAATACTTTTCTGTTCTTCCTTCATCTAACGATCATATCAACAGAAAACCAACTGAATAGCTTTCGAATTTCAGCTCTATAAATGTGCAAAATATTATTGTTTACCCCATTCGATTGGCCACAACCATAATAGGCGTATATATACATATATCGTGTCTGGTTTATCTATAGATAAATGCTTACGTAACTGAGCTATCACATTTTTGCTATCCGGCTATAAAATTGCTCTAGATATACATTTCCGATTCTCTAGCTTCAATCGCAATCGAATAATATAGAAAAGATAGAGCGAATTCTGATTTGCCAAATGCCCAGTGAACACTCAATGCGAGGATATCATCAAGACTGCAGCGATTGATAATACTCTCTGTTGACGTGGCGAGCGAGTATTAAAACAATATAGATAGACTTAACGGAGTTCGCTATTGACTTTTGCCCCAAGCTAATCGCAATGAAAGCTGCATTTTTCTAGTGAAAAATAATAATCTAGATCTAATCTAGACTGTTTCACTAGATAGACAGACAGATAGATGGATGGATACACTAGCGAGGGTGGCGTTCGGCTGAGTGTATGCATTTATGCAAATATTTTGACCTAAGCTAATCTTATCTCTTGGAAGATTACAGAGAGAGCGAAAGAGAGCGAAAGAGATCGAGCGAGATAGAGAGAGAGAGCCACTATAATTAATTTAGCAGCTGCAAGTAATATAGATCCAGAGATGTTAGATCTTGATGCACAAGCTGTTTGTCACGTATATCCAGGTAGAAAATGCGAGAGAGGGAGAGAGAGAAAGACAGTCAGAGAGGGGGAGAGAGAGAGAGCGAGAGAAAGAGATATAGATAAGGTTATATTTATATGTATATATGTAAATAATATTAAATTTATTTATATATATTACATTTATATACAATGCATATTTTTCGGAAAGTATAGAATTTTAAAGAGCTTATAGAACTTATAAACTCAAACCTAAACCCGAAACCTTAAATCCTTAAATCGTAATATATGACGTGATCATGTTGATAAGTCCGATTAATATCGATAACAAAATTACAACTTACAGGCATCAAATTCACTTAATCAATAGCCAAAATTTATCGATAACTCACTGGTACTGGTAATTAGCTTGTTGATCATGATCAAGAGACTAGTCTGTCTATAAGCATTATATAAAACCAGTTTCATTCATCAAAATCGATCATATTTTTTAATTTGCCTACAATCGATAAAAATCGATCAACAAAATATTGCTACTTTTATCATATATCAAATGCATTTTGAGTGTAGAATCATATTCTGCATTTTGGCATACCCTCTCTACACCCGTATCACTAAGTTGCACATAGAGAGAGAGAGAGAGAGAGAGAGCGGAAGAGAGAGAGAAAGATATCTTTTGATATCAGCTAAAACATGAATGACAGCAGTTGGTGTTGCCTTGCCTTGGTATGTGTCAGTCGTGTATGCCCTATGGCGGCGCTCAAACTTGCAATTGCACAAGCTGCCCTAGCAATGGCTAAGCAATAGGCTAATCAGTTAAATGCTTGACAAATTGTATAGGCACACACACACACACTCGTGGCGTCTGTTGAGGTGTTTATTTTGTTGACCTTGTGTCACCGGGGACTTTTGTGTATTCTTCTTCAAAGTAATGTAAAAATGAAAAAAAAAAAAAACAAAAATAAATAAATAAATAAAATGAGCTTCGCTTGCGTTAGGCAATTAGTTGGCTTTCCCTTTTTTGGGCAGCAGTTTTTTTTTTTTTTTTCAACAATAGCCGTCGGCTGTCAGCAGCCGCACCACCCGCACCACCGCCCATGAGTCATCCCATCGGCAAGCAGAGGGCAGGTGCACGTCTCTCTCGCTCTGTCGCTCTGTCCGTTATCTTATCTCATGGCGCTGCGCCGACAGGTGAGCAAATCGCGACGCGCTGCTATTGCTCTGTTCGAACTGTTTCAGCTCCAGTCGAGCGAGCGATTGGCGAGCGTCAACAACGGTACAACAACGGAACAACAACAACAACAACAACAACAACAACAACACCATCGAACGGCTAGAACTTCTAGAGTTTTCAAATGAGTTTGCTACGTACCAAAAGAGGGGGCGGCAGCAGCAGCGACAGTGTGCGTGCCAGCGAGATGCCCACCATGCGGCCCGTCTCCATGGGCCGGCCGCTGGTCATAATGTCCACCTACGAGGTAGCGCTTCAGCAACTGAAACCAAAAATCAATTAATTGGGCAATCAATCAATCACATTTCATTAAAGTCTGATTTGTTATTTTCGTTACTCATTTGTCGCTTACTTTATGTTGGCTCATTAAATATTTTGCAGGAGCGCGGCGAGACGCTGAAACGCACTTCGATTATGCCCGATGATAGCTGCTATCGCAACAACAACAACAACAACAGTAACAGCAACAGCAACAGCAACAATAACAGCAACAACAGAAACTATAGCAGCAACAGCAACAGCAGCAGCAGCACCAGCAATACTACCAACAGCGGAAGCAATCGCATGTTGCTGCTCAATGGTAACAGCAACAACAACAACAGCAACGTGAATGGAACGCCGGAATTGCCACCGCCGGTAAGTGAATTGAAAACGAAATTGCAAGCAACTGCCAATTGGAGCTGAAAATTGATCAGAGTCTAATTGCTCGATCTCCAAGTGATATCAATTTGCTGTATGAATCCAATCGACTAATTGAGCTGAGTATATCACACGAGCTTTTTGATGAGCTTTAATGCGCTTGCGCCGAGTGCTTGCTTTTGCTTTTGTTGGGCCTCTCTTTGCAAGTCCTTAGTCCTATATGTTGCGCCTATTAAAATTGGGGAATGAGGGAACAGTCGAGTCTCGATAATTTTTACTCCACTTGATCGAAAACCACGTTAAATCGAAAATAATTCTTTTTATTCCCTTGAATGAAATTCGTTCTCAATGATTTGAATTTCTGTGCAAATCGGAAAAAAAAAAAACTTATTCCCTTGTCATTTCGAATCACACAGACTCGACTACATAATGTTTTTTTAAGCTTTACAAATCATTTCTGTCAAGTTTCTGTCAGCTTAAAGGAGCTTTAGTAATTATTTTATGGGTACTTTAAGAGAGCTAAAAACTCATTGAGTCACTGCGAATTTGAGTCCAGTTTCAATAAGCTTGGACCAGTCTATAAAACGCATTCAGCTTTTGACGAGCTTAGTTAAACTCGAATTAACTTGAATATAATTACAGCTAATTTGAATTGAGTTTAAACAAACAAGCTTACAGTAAGTTTTGCTAGTTTAGCATCAAGCCTAAATGAACTTTCGTTAAGCTGGAATTCATAGTAAATCAAGAAAGCTTTTGCTTGTCGAAAACTAAGACTTTAGACTCTTCAATTGATTAGCTTGAATTCTTCAACTATTCACGAGTCTTTTTCCATTTGTATATCCAATAATTTAGCACATTGAGAGCTTTCAGTATGTGAAAAACTTTAAGCTTTAAGCTCACTTTAAGCTCTGTTACACTTTAAGCAATTCAAGCGAGAAGAACAATTATGTGGAATATCGAAATTTAGCTGCATGAGCGAGCATTGCGCAGTCGACTATGCCCGATTGCAGCATTCTTAGTTGTTTTAGATAGCTTCTTCTTTCTTCTTTATTTCATTTTCTTGCCACGCTCGCAAGTTGATTTATATAAAAAAACTTATCAAAACTTATCTAGCCAGTCACTCATGCCATACCCCCCTCTCTCTCTCTCTCTCTATCTATCTCTGCAGCCACCTCAGTTTGCCAATCCACAGCAGAAGCAGCAACAGTCGCCGCCACCACAGCCGCCCGCACAGCTCAAGCTGAGCATACCCAACGGCAGCGGCAACAGCAATGGGAATGGGAATGGACAGCCGCTCTCCGCTCGCAGCAAGCAGCTGAGCTCAGCGCCAGCATCAGCATTTGCATCGGCGTCGCCTCTGTCGCCCGTGCGCAGCCCCAACGTGCAGATGCGTGCGCCAGCAATGCCGCAGCCCGACTACGATGCAGCAACGGCAGCGCCAGCAAATGGGACGCAGCAGCGACGCACGCTGCGGCTGGGCACGGTGACGATTGGCGAGTACAGCGGGGAGCAGCGCAGCAAGCGGGAGATGCTGCGCAGCACAAACGCTGGCAGCGCTCAAACGAATGGCATACTCAAGAATGGCAATCGCAGCAGCAACAGCTTCAGCACCAGCAACGGCAACAGCAGCAGCAGCAGCAACAGTCGCCAGCAGCAGCAGCAGCAGCAACAGCCAGAAAAATCTATTAAATTTGGCAACTAATAAAATATCGAAAAAAAAAACATTTGTGCAATATGTTTTAAGCAGACGTAGTACAAAAGCAAAAAAAAAAAACAAAAAAAAAATAGAATTTATAAAAATATTT